GACTGTTCCTGGCTCTGCACAGAGTTCCAGGGAACAACCAGATGCCTGACTCTGGAGGTGGCAGCCCTCCCCCAGCAGGCAGCCCCCCTTGTCCCAGCCCCTCCTGCCCCTTCTCCCTCTCCCAGAAGCCATGGGGGAGCCTGGCCAAGGCAGCACTGGCCTGGGAACCGCTTGAGGTGGTGTTTGGATCCCTGACCCTGGTTTCCCAGGCCCCGGGGAGAAGGGTCAGGGTGTCAGGGCAGGCAGGGATCTGACTCCCAGCTCATTGTGGGGACCAGCCACAGCTCAGGGCCCTAGACCTGGAGCTCAGGTGCAGCGCTGCCTCCACACCCCTGCATGGGGATGGAGAACTCGGGGTTCAAACTCTGTCACTGCCACCTGCCTGCCGGGTGACCCTGGGCAAGCCTTCCTCCCTGGGGGCCTCACCATGGCCCCGACAGAAATGTGAGGGGTGCGAGTGGGTGCGGCTTCCGAGGGAGGCAGGAGTCGGCCCAGCGCAGGGCCACCTTCCCCAGCCCGCTGACACCCCTTTCTGAGGTGGACTGTCCACTCTCTCCGGGGCCTTGCAGCCAGCTGCCTCTGGACACGGACATTAAGTCTGACCGGAAATCCTTCCTGTCCAGGGGAATTACTGGTTTGCACAGCTCTGGGAGATGTCGAAATGCAGGCTGTGTTTGCCTTGGGTTTGTTTTCTTTCCACGGAAGACAAAACCAAACACACATATGGGCGCGAGCACCCTGGCACCCCAGGGCAGAGAACCGAATGTTCGCCCCAAAGCCCCAGCTGGTGCACAGTGGGCGCCCTGTGATGCCTGCAGGGCCGGTCAGTGGACCTGGGGGTCCTGGGCAGGAGGCTTGGCTCCCACTCTGACTTCCTGTGTCACTCTGACTTCCTGTGTGATCTCTGGAAGGTGTCTCTGCCTGAGTCACAGACAACGACATTAAGGGTACCGCGTCCCTGGGAAACCCCTGGGTGCCAAGCCAGGCACTGGGCCTTGTGCTTACAAAGCCCTCTGATCTGTCTGATCGCCACACTATCCCTGGGGAGGCCCAGGGTTCAGAGAAGTGGACGAACATTATCCCCAGAGGCGGCAGGGCTGTGGGGTACAGGGGCACTCTGACAGGGCAGGGTTCTGGTGCTCAGATCTGTTCGGATCCCTACTGGGGAGGGCAGCAGGCACCACACAGGCACTCTGAGGAGATATCCCCTCCTCCTCCTACCGTGTGAGGGTTGGGTCCCCTTCTCCACTGCCCTGCTCAGCTCTGATTCCGAGTTCAGGTTGACTCCGGCCCTGTCAGCCACGTCACCCACACTGAGGCCAGGCATCTGGGGTTGAGTGTGCCAGCAAGCAGGGAAGGGCTGGTGGCTTCTGGGACTCACTGGGCACTCCAAATAACACAGGGGGAACATTCCCTGTTTCTGAAGTCGGGGATCTCTGCTCCTGCCTGTTCCCCGCTCCTCCCCCACTGCGGCCCCTAATCCCAAGGATCCCCACTTTTTCTCTGCTCTGTCTCAGAGGCTGCAGTCTGGAGGCGAGGGCTGGCCTGCGGACACATGATTTGACCTATATACTATCTATAATTTCAGTAAACTAGTTGCCAAAATTTAAAATTGGAAAATTTCACATAACCACCTGGTTTTCTAGGACCACCCCCCTCCAAGTAGCACATTCTTAGACAGCAGTACCTGGCCAGAGCTGAGGATAAGGGCGGGGGTTGCCACCAGTGTGGCCAGAGCCTCTGTCCACCGGCTTCCCCACCCCTGACATCACCACTGGCCCCACAGGACCGCAAGAGACCATTTCAAAGCCTGGCATTTCTCAACCTTGTACATGGGACTTCTCTGGGGAGCTTTAAAGACCTAAGGACACAGGCCAAGTCCTCGAGCATCTCTCAGGTGGGACCACAGGGCCCATCGTGATTCCGAGGAATAGCAAGGTTGAGAGGGACCAGAGCACTGGCCCCGGTCCGAGGGGCTCCATGTGTGGGTAGCTTCTCAAGATCCATGGCTTCCCGTCCGTGGCTCTCAGCTAAAGCCCCACCTTGTGACAGCTTGGCCTTATCCTGGCTCGTTCAGAAGAAAGATCCTCTGTTCCCTCTCCTGGGGACTTCCCAGGGGGCCTGGACATTTCCGATTGCCCATTGGGTGATGCCTAGGGTCTGAGGCCCAAATCCTGGGCCTGGCAAGAGGGCCAAGTGTGGCCACGGGCGGTGGGGCCCGGGGCTGTTGCCTCCAAGGAAGATTCACTCCTATATATGGTCACCCGGGAGTCCCATTGCTGAGCTAACGTGTGACCTAATGTGCTGACAATCTCGCCCAGTCTGGGCCTGAGTTGGGAAGGGCCCTGAGTCTGGAGAGAGTGTCCACTTGGGGGCAGAGGGGCTGGGAGCAGGCAAATCAATGGCATGGAGACAGGGCAAGGACGAGGTGACCCAGACCTGGGACAGGAGAAAGGCAGCTCGGAGTCCTTCCCACCCGGCTTGGCCTCACGCATCTGTGACGACGTCCAGCTCCCCCTGATGCTCTGCGTAAACAAGGAAACCCATGAACCACTCTTGCTTTTAAAAGTTCTTTTAATACAGCATGAAAAGGCTATATTGCTATAGGCAAGCTGTATACAGATTTTCCAGGAATAAGGCACACAACGGAATGCCATCCCGAGGGCAGCCCTTCGGAGAGACCGGGAGCCTTCTCCATGCACCCTCCGAGCCGGGCCCACGGGTTCTGTTTGTCTTTTTAGCTGGACACACACGTATTAACAGATACAGACATGGACAGGGTCACCACACGGGAGTGAGGAGGTCCGACGGCAAGGTTGGCAACAGATGGCGATGGGCCCTTCTGCCACCAGCCCTTGGGGACGGCTCAGCCACCTCCCTGAAGGCTGGAACGCCTCCCACACTTCAGTTTAGTTGTTGTCCTGGGCTACAATGTAGTGATGTTGGATTAAATATGCATTTAGAGTAGATTCAAGTCTATTTGATGCTGGAGGCAGGTGTAAGGGCTCTGGTTGGCACATCCCAGTTCAAAGAGCATGGGGTCCAGAGGTGTGGCTCAGATGACAAAGCTCCAAAGAGGGGCATGGAGAAGTCAACCTCCTGTTTCCTCTTCCCTCCTGGGCCCTGCTGACCGGAGCCCTCCACCAGGCCAAGGAGGCCATCTTTGGAGCTGGCCAACCACGGAGGGGCTGGTGAGTCACCTAAGCCGGCTGTGTAATACTGTGAGGCCCCCTCATCCCCTGGCCCACTCCCTGCCCCCCCCCAAAGTTAATAACCATAATAACAAGATAATAATAAGAAGGTGCAAAAGAATGGATTACAATGCTGTGTTTTTACCCTCAGCTGGAGAGGCTCAAAGGGGTCACTATTCCCTTTTTGGCTACATTATCTAATAATAGCTTCCCTTAAAAAAAGCAATACTTTCAAAAATACACACATGTATAAATACAGGACACGAACATATTAATAAGTCTAAGCACTCGAATAATATGCTTGGCTACATAATACTGATATTTTCATCCAAGGAAAACAACACAGAATAACAATATGGCTTAAAGAATTGCAAAGATTTTTTTTTCCTCATCAGAATTATGTACCAACTTCATATAATATTCTATGTAGACAATATTTCCTTCTTAATGTAGTTCAGTTGCATACTTTTTACAGATCAAAGCATAGTAAAAAATCAAACCAAACACAAAATGAAACAAACAAACAAAAAAAAACCAACAAACCCAACAACAGGAAAAAAGAGAAAAGTTCTCACCATAAATATTTTCTTGCAGCTCAAACAGAAGGTTTGCAAAAATACTTCCAGACATCTTCATTTGATATTCTAGTGCCCTCCTGAAAGCTCCGAAGATTTGAAAATGCCTCTCTTTTTTTTTAAATCTCAAAAATCAAACAATTATATTTTTCTTTTTCTTTTTCTTTTTTTAAAAAAAAAGGCCCTCAAATATATACAGACAAAGATCACCGTGAAGATTTTTTTTTTTTTTCGGGAGAAGGTAACAAATTCAGTGTTGTGAGAAAAATTGGTAACCAGAAGAAATTTTAACATCTATGATTTTTTTTTCAAAATACACACATAGTATTTTTCTTAAAAAAAAAAAAAAAAGGAATTCTGTGTCAAGTATAACTCAAAATAAATACAAATTCACAAGTAGAACTATCGAATACTTCATACGGGTTAAACGCCGTTATCTCTCAACTAGGTCACCAGATCTACTAACTGCAGGCGATTGTCCCTTTTGAACATACAAGCCACACACTTTCTTGTCTCCCGGGCTCTCGGGCCCTCTGAGCACTTAATCCTCACAGTACCCGGCCGGGGCTGCCCACAGAGAGCCCCCATATTCAGCCAGAGCCATGCAGGGGTGGGCAGTGCAGAGAGGGGCTGCCTTGGGCAAGAGGGCCCAGCCCCCACCTCGGCCAGCTCTGCACAGAGGGTAGACAGGCTTACTGGGAAGGTCACTTTGGGGGGATATCCCATTTCCTACTGGCCCCGGGGAAGGTCCCGGCCTTCAGCAGTCTGGAGCCTTCGTTCTTTTTAGGGTGTGGGCTGCCCTCACCACTGCAGCACGGTTGGCAGGCTCTGGGTCTCCCGGGGCCCGGTCCCCGGAAGGGCTGGGTCCTGGTCCTCACAGCAGACACCCTCACACCGCCCACCACTGCGGACAGCACCTTCCGCACTGCACCAGGGTGACTGAGAGTGACAGCTTCTCCTTGCGGACAGAGATCCTTGGGCCGGGATGGCTGCAGCCCCCCTCGCCACCATGGAGAAGACAGGGGACGCTGGGAGGGACTCCTCGGCGGCACAGTCCCCACTGGGACTCCCAGTGGGAGGTAGGGTGTTCACAGTTGGCTGCGGGGCCCTCTGCCCCTGTGGGCAGCGCGGAGGTGGCCACGGGCTCAAGCTGGAGCAAATAGCCTCTTGTTAAGTGCTCAGAGGGCACGCCCCCCCCACATCTCCCCTGCAGGCCCGCCCCCCGCCCCCCTCCCCGGCTGCAAACGCACTCACACCATCTCTTCAACTTGCTCCCTGGACCCCTGGTTATCACTTCCCTCTAACCCCTCAGTTGTACACAGCATTTTCATTTGAAAACAAAAGGCGACCAGGCCCCAGTTGGGTGACCTTGAGCCATGGTAAACACTGAATTTCAGGCCCATTGCACGGTCTGAATTTTTTGTTTGTTTGTTTGTTTGTTTTTCCACAGAGGCCATAATGTTGGGGCAAAACCAAGGGACCTGGTCCCGCCAGCCGGCTCTCTCCCTCTCCCTGGGAGAAAGGAGGGATGATGGGACAGTAAAAATAGGGCTTCTCACAGGGGAGAGAGCAGAGAGGCGAGCGTGATCTCTCCCGCCAGCCGGGACAGTGGTCTCCCTGACCAACATGACTTGCCCAGAGGCCTCCCTGCTCCCCTGGGAGGTAGGAAATCATTGTCCCATTTTATAAAAGAGAGGTTCTGTAGCTTACGATGGGTTGGCCTCGCGTGAGGGGGATTCTTCTCCCTCATTTTTGCAGAGGTGGGATGGGGACATCAGGAAGGGCAGGGGTTACAGGTGGTGACAGGGGAGGACCAGCATCCCTCAGCTCTGTTCGAAGTGAGTGATGGGTGACCATGTGCAGTGTGGGGCTTGGTGGGCCTCTCCGGACAAAGCTTCATGTGAACCCCACAACACTGGAACCGAATTGGGCCTGCGCACCCTGGAGACCCTCTCTCACGTAACTAGCGGGTGCCCTGAGGGCCAGAGTCGAGAAGTCCTTCCTGAGGCCTCGTAGTGTGTGAGCAGCAGGGCTGGCACATGAACCTAGGGTGGTCTCCAGACCACCAGGCCTGTGTCTGTCCTGCCAGAGGGCCTTCCACACCGGGCCCTACGGCCTCGATCAGGGGGTGGACCCCGGTGTAGGTGTGGGTGAAGGACAAGGGTAGGGAAGGGGCCTGACACAATCCAAGCACAAAGTCTAATCCCAAGTGGGGAAAGTGTGTGGTGGGGGCGGGGAGAGGCATTGTCTGATGTGTCCCAGGCCACACTGTGGGACACTAGCCAACATTCAGCGCCTCCCTGTCCCTGACCTCTGGGTCTAGGGTACGCAATGCTAATGACATCACAGGCAGTGGGGTCTGGGGCTCATGGTGGGCAGGGGGCAGAGATGTCCACTCCCCAGCAGCTGCTAGAACAGGGGTCAGCTCGCCAGGATTGCTGACTCAAACAGGACACAAACATAGGGCTTTTCTGAGAGTGGCTTTGCACACATGGCAAACTGGAAGGTTGTGGGCAGAGAAGGAGGCCTGGCTAGTCTTGGGGAGACAGTCCCCTGCAGGCTTTGGGATTCACAGTACATTTAGTGCACTTGTGGCCAATATAAGGCTGCTCACCCCAAAGGGAGTCTCAGAGGAAGACCGCCGGCAGGGGACACCAAGGGCTTTATGGGGTCCTGGGTGCTGACCTCTGCTTACCCCTGTCCCCTCCACACAGACCCCAGGCCCACCTGCAGAGAGCCCCAGCATTCGGTGGGGGCAGCCACGTCCATAACACTGTTTGGCAACACACATCAGACGAGAACCTAAGACACCCCCGCCCAGGCGTGTAAGGCTGCAGGACACACGGCAACGCGGAGAGGCACAGGGAGCGGCGTCCCGGGCGGCCGCTGGGCGGGTGGCTGCGGGCATGGTGGGCAGCTCACTGCACGCGGCGGCAGTAGTAACCGAGCACCTTGCACTTCTCGCACAGGTGCTGGGGGTGCTCCTTGCTCTGGTCGGACACGTCCAGGCCGTCGGGCTTCTCCAGGGGTCTCTGCAGAGAGGAAGGGGAAGTGGAGAGAAAGACAGGAACACAGAGAGAAGCAGGGAGAGTGAGACAGATGCAGAGAGAGGGATGGAGAGAGCACAAGATAGACAGGGGTGGGGGTGCCCAGACACAGCCTGGAGTCACCGAGGTTGTTTCCCTAGGGACCCGGGCCCTGCCTGCCTCTGGCCTGTGGCAGGTGCATAGCCCAGGGAGGAGGGGCTCTTGGACCCTCAAGGTCTGGATGCCACTTTGGCTTCCCCCTGGACTGTCAGAGCAGCCACCCCCAAAGCTCATGAAAGCCCAGGACACAGGCAGGACGGTGGTGCACAGACATCACCCAGATGAGGAAAGCCAAGGCCCAGAGCAGGGAGGACCCAAGCCCATGTCTCCTAACCTCCAGCACACTCGGCACTCCTTCCCAGGCTACATGTCACTGCCATGCTTCGGGCTTGGGGTAAATGCGCTCTTGGCTCTGTGAGGTTAGCAGCCAGTGCCCCTCACCCCAGGGCCTGGCACAGTCCTTGCCCTGTCGGTTGAGTGGCCAAAGGAGCAGAACTCCACTGTGTCCTAACAGGGAAACTGAGACCCAGAGAAGGGAGGTGGCTTGCCAGACCTGTGATGCTACTCATGCACTTTGTGACCTCAGGGGGGCCTCAGTTTCTGCATCTGGAAAGTGGGCCCTCATCGCACCTCAGTTGTGGAGCAGTGGGAGGAATTGGATGTCTAGATGTTTGTAAACTAGGCACCATTAGGCACGCAGGATAGCACTTCTGGGACATAAGGAGCTTCCTGCTCCCTCTTTCCCTCCCATCCTGGCTCACAAAAGCCAGCAGAGACTTGTTTCCCTGGAAAATTTGTGGAGGCTATTAGGCACACCTCCTGAGGCACAGAGTTTCTTGGCTGGTGGTCGAAGCCCCTGCCCAGAACCCCCACCTGCAGAAGGGTCCCCTGCCTAGATGTGGGGGGATGTAGAAGAAGCTGGTCAGGGACAGCTGGGACCTACATGCTGAGGAGAGGGGGCAGGAAGCACAGGCTGCTGTGGGGCCACGGACCTTGATGTCAGTGGCTGTGACCGGAGATGGTCCTGGAGGGAAGCCACGGGCAGACTGTAATCTTCCCCAAAGCAGTACACGGGCTTTTCGGGCCCGTCATGCAATCCCCAGTCCGAAGCAGACACTGAGAGCAGTCTGGGAAATGGAAGAGCCCCAAACCTCCAGGAGGAGAGCACAGAGATGACAGAAGGCCAAGGTCCAAGGTCTGAGGGTCACAAAACCCATCTATGTGCTTCTAAGCCTAAAGCCACCCAGAGAAGGCTTGCAAAATGGACAGGAGCCTTGGCCTCGTCCAAGGGGCCTTAACATGACCAGCTTTCCTGGCCAGGGGAGAGGAGGAAGAGTTTAGCTTTGTGTCAGACAGGGGCTTGAACAACCTCCAAGCTGTGTGACCTTGGGCAAGCCACCTGGTCCCTCCTATTGTCCATCTCCCCCTCTGTAAAAGGGGACGTTGGCAACACTTTTCTCATGGGGTTGTTGTTACAACTCAATGAAAAGAAAGAGCAGAGCTCCTCACATTGTTTGTTGTAATTACTGATGGGGGGGGCACCACCAGGGAAAGGGGCACTGAAGCTGTGATTCCAAGCTGAGAGGCCCAGGAAGGCCCCCCGGACCTGCTCTCCCAGGCATCTCAGGAAGACCGACAGCAGCCCGCAGCCTGGCCTGCAAGCCAGGGCTGGGAGCTCCCTGCCAGCCAAGCTGCCTGGCTCTAACAAGGGCTTCCTGACCTGGAGCTAAAATCTGGCTCCCCATCCCTCCCCCCCATCATCACTGCCACACAGGGGCTCCCACAGGTCTGAGAGGGGCAGTCCTCAAGTCTCCCCTCCCCTAGGTCAAACTTGGCCTGGTTTCCAGCTCTCCTCCCCAACTCTCCATGCTAGCCAGGGCACCCCCCTGAACCAGTCTTCTGGGTGGGGCCAGAGAGGCCAGAAGAGGCAGGTCCCACACCACCCCCGCCCCCATGGTTTACACTCCACAAAGCATGGCCATGCAGACCGTACCACCTAACTGGACAACCTCACTACAAGGAGACTATTACTATCCTCATATATTACAGATGAGGAAACCGAGGCTCCAAGACAGTAAGGGTCTTGCCCAAGGGCCTGCAGCTTCCTCTATCTACCCAGGGCTGTTGGGTAAGAGCTCTCTGCTCTAGAACCTCAACACCCCCTTCTGTAAGCTGGGTGGAAGGTTAAGAACACTTAGAGAGTGTGTGTGACAGAGATAGCAAGAAACGAGACGACTGCCTTAAAGCACTTTATAGTCATAAAGAGCTCTGCAAGACTTAATAATGGCTGTGTGACCTCTAGAAGCTACTTAACCTCTCTGTGCCTCAACTTCCTCTTCTATAAAATGGGGTAACTAAGAGTACGTACTTGATAAGGGGTTGTGAAGAGTAAATAAGATAATTACATGCAGTGTCCACCAGTATTCCCACAATGACTTATTGCTGCTATCGCTAATACTATGGAGGACTGGGGGCGGGCGGCGGGCAGGGGAGCTAGCTGAGTCCCCGGGGAAATATTCCTGCCATATCCTCACCACCCCTCCTCCTTAGCCATGACCCCATCTGTGCCCTTGCCCTCCACGGGTCCGGGCTCCGCTGAGTGGAGGAGCTGGGGGATGCTGTCAGGACTACTCCCCTCCAGCGAAGGAAAACCTCCAGCTGCTGGGATAGATCACCCCAGGGCTGTCCCCACCCCCAGCAGGGAGGCAAGGCCCTTCAGTGTTTTCTTCTCCTGGGGGGCAGGGGAGCTGCAGCTGGAGGCTGACGGGAAACAGATGTGGCAGGGGAAGGAGGAGAGGGAAAGTGGAGGGTTCTCAGGGGATGGATGCCATACAGGTCAGAGCTCAGTGGGGGGGGGGGGGGCGGCAGGAGAAGTAAAGGAGCCCCTCTCCACCACGGGGGGGCTGGGGGGTGGGGACTCCCAAGTCCTCCTCTCAGGGCACCCCCCCTCCCCAGCCCGCCTGTAATCTCCCTGAGGGAGAAGGGCCAGGTGAGAAGCACATGGAGCCCAGGAGAGGGCCCCTGTGAGAGCAGAGTTCAGCTCAAAGGCGAGTGAGCTCTTAATTCAACACAGGGGAGAAGGGGTTTTTGGACTGGGATCTCAGACCTTCTCAGGAATTGGCAGGAAATCAGGAACCAGGACACCATGTTTCCTTTAAACTGCCCACCCTTGGCCCCAGACCCTGGACATGTTCCTACAACACCAGGCCTACCCAATGGGTCATCAGGCCTGTCCTGGCACTGCTGGGCCTCGGTCTCCCCCCTCGATGCCATTAGCATGTGGGCCAGGAGACCCCTGTTCACTGGACCACCATGGCCAGTTTTGAGTCTGTTTGTCCACATGATGCAGTGTGGCTGATGGGAACCACAGAAACCCTGGGGTTTGGGGGGGGGCTAGGGAGGGTCTGCAAACAGAGGCAGTGGAAGCCAGTATGACGGGCATGAAATCACAAAATGTTTCCACCACAAGAGTCTGCTCAGATGGCTCCCTCCTTTCTCTACCCCACCCCTGCCGCACCCCTGGCCGTGCTCCTGGTAGAATAAAGACCAAATTCCAAGCCAGGGCTTCAGAGCCAGCCCCATGCAGCCTGGCCCCCACCTCCGACCTCTGCTTCACCCCTCAGCTCCTCCAATGCTCTGTACCTGACCCTGGCCTCCCCACTTTGCAAACGCTGTTCCCCCCCGCCTCAGCCACTCCCTCCCAGTCCCCTCCACCCTCCCCAGAGCTCAGCCAACATCAGTGCCTTCCCCAAGAGCCTCAAAGTCCACCTCCCTTTCCATCCTGCCTCCACCAGACCCCCAACCCCTGCTCCCACCATCCTTAGTGACTCAGCCTCCACAGGGAAGACTGGCCCCAGCCCTGGTTCCTCAATGCCCCTACAATGTCATCAACATGACCTCTCCCACTGCCCCCTTGGCGGCCCCCTTGGCCACACCCTGGATGTGGTCTTCTTCAGAACACCGCTCTCTGTGCTGGGCAGCCCCCCCGACCTCCCTGTCCATCGGGGCCCCCCTGGTTCCCCAGGATCACCCACCATCACACTTCTGCAAACACACCAATTCTACAGCCTTCTACCCTCAGAACCGCAGTCCTGGCGAACCTCTGCCCTGTAACGTTGTCCACAGACTCTGGCCTGCTCCTGCCCCTGCCCCGTGACCCCCGCTGAAGCAAGTCATAGAACCAGGCTGGCAGCGCTGGTGACAGTTATGACCTCACACCTCCCTGGGCTGGGAACGCAGTTCAATCTCTCTGGGAGGCCCACTTCCTCCTTCTTCCTTCCCCAAGGCCACCCTACCCCTCCTCGCCTTCACATCTAGCTGAAAACCTCCCGTCCCATTTCTCTTGAGAAGACAGAAGACTTGGAAGGGAAGTCCCTCTTCTCTGCACCAGTAAACCCACCAACCTCCCTAACCACCCCCATGTCCCTCCCTCCTGTGCCCATGGTAAGGCATCGCCCTCCTGTCCCTGCATCATCAACCTTTTGCCTCCTTCTGGCTCCTTCTCACTTACCTGTAACACACGTGAACTCTTCCCATCTCCATCACACCTGCCTCAATGCCATCTGTGTTACCGCAGCGACTGCCCCATCGCTCTGCTGCTCTCTACAGTCAGACCCCCTCAAGGGAGTGGACAGTGAAGGTATTCCTGCTGCAGCCCAGCCCCACCAACCCCTCCCTCCCCCGTCATGGCTCCGTGGCCACTGCCCCAGCCAGTGGGTCGCTGTGAATCCACATCCCCACTCCGCACTTATGCCTAACCTGCAGGGTATTGACTTCCAGGCTCGCAGACCCAAGCCGCAGTTCAACAAGGTCTCCAGGTCAAAGTGATGCCCCAGAAAGTTTGAGGACCACCTCCTTAGTGCCAAATCCCCAAGGCACTTCTCCATGGCCATGATCCCTGACATCTCTACGTGAGCCTCACCTGTCCCCTCAGGTGGCATGCCCTGACCCCAGGACTCTGCACCCCCTAGTTCTCCTCCTTGATGGACTTCTCCTCCATCTGACCCCTCAGTGCTGGGATTCTGCAATACATAGTCTGGGGAGTTCTGTCTCCACTTCGTCTACATTCTGCAGGAAATCGCATCCACTTCTTGAATACCTTAAGGTCAATGACACCCAAGTATGTAGGAGTCACCTTGACTTCTCATATGAGCTTCAACATAACAAATCCAACTGCCTTCTTGACATTTTGACTTAGATTTCCAGACACATCTCAAATGTAACATGTGTTTCAAAGAACTCTTGGTTTTATCTGGGACACCTGGGTCTTACCCTGGCCTGCCTACAGCCCAGGTTGCCCACCCCAGTAAGCCCACTTCCATCAACTCAGGCTGATGACCGTTCTCGTGGGTTCCTGCCCCTTCCTCACTTTCCACATCCAACACAGGGACACTTTGCGTCTGACCCAGGTCCAAGGCCACCCCTCTTCCCAGCATGCATGGGACTATAGCCATGACTTTTCCACTGGTCTCCTCACTTTTGACCACCCAGCTATACCACGACTAGTCTCTCTCTGCATACATCAGAAGAGTCATCTCAAAATAAAGCAGAAAGCTCTATTGCTTGTGGGTTTCGAGTGGCCCCCAAGGCTGGGAAGCACCCCGTTCAGCTTCCCACGCCATTCCTCTTGTTCAGTTCTCCTGATACTTCACTGAGGTTTGGGCCTTGAGTATTGAAGCCCATAAGGCCACAAGGCATTTGCACCTGCTGTATGGTCTTCTTGAGATTGCTGTCCCCCACTTGTGACAGGTCTGGCTTCCTCCCATCCTTCGGGTCCCAGAGTAAACAGACCTCCTCTTTGCAGCCTGCAGTGAGTGGATCCTCCCTGGGACGAGCTGCCTCACCACGTCTGCCACCCCCCGACCCTCCAACATGTCCATATACACCTTGGCCACCAGCCCCACGTGTGGTGCCTGGAACACTGGAGCTGCGGGTGAGCAAATGAAGGAGACGTGTTTTCCGCAGCACGCTGTTGCCCCCGCATTCCCGCTCAGCCCGCAGCAGCACCCCGAGCTCATTAGTTTCAGAACTCGCCTGCGTCTGCAGTCTCAGGGTCTTGCTGAACTCGCCCCTTTAACCTCCTTCCCTTCCCAGGGAAGTGGTGACCTCTCACTCCCATTTCAGAGGAGACCGACAAAGGGCCAGCTTGGAGAGGTCTGGTCTCATCCTTGTCATATGCAGGTGTAAGCTGAGGCCCAATAACGATCCAGGTCAGCCCCCAGGCCCTCATGAGAGCCCCTCTGGCCACCACCTCCTTCCCCCCAAGCCCCGCCCCGCTCACCTGCTTATGCGGATACACGTTGATGTGGCACTTAATGCACTCCTGCCCCATGTTGGCCCACGAGTTCCCGCTCATCCATTTTCTCTTGCACTTGGGACACTTGTACTCGCCGAAACAGCGCTTTTTGCCCTGGTACGGGGTCAGACCCTCGCCTTTGGGGCGAGCCTAGAGGACAGGAAGCAAACACAGGGCATTGGGGCCCACCAGGCCAAAATGATGTCCCTACAGAATCCCCACAGTCTTCCCTGTGCAGGCAGAGGGTAAGGCACTTTACACCCCACCCAGAGAATGCCAAGGCCACCCCCAGAGCGTGCGCGCACACAGAGACACACACACACACACACACACACGGGAATCCCAAGGCTAGGAGACCCACACAGGGAGTCAGAGAACAGGAGGTGGTGGGCGATTCACATCTTTTCTAGATTTCAGGGAACAAAGTACGAGACCATGGCCAGGAATGACTTCTCTGACTCACAGCATAAAAAGGCAGCTAGCAGTTCCATGCACCTGCACACAGGTGATCTCTGGCATGCCCTGTCCCCTCTGGAGGTGTGGTCTGCATGGTCGTTGGTGAGACAACAGGGGCACAAGTATGCAATCTGGGGTACAGCAAAGGGGTGTCTCCCCTCCCCCGGGGCTCGGCCACCGGCTCCCCTCCTGGAGGCCACCTCCCTTTCCTTCCCACCAGCCCGGAGGTGGGCTCTGCATTTACAGACCCACGCAGCACACACAGACACACATGCATCCTTGTCCCTCGCTCCATGGGCACACCAGGCATTGGTTCTGTGCCTTCCCTGTTTCACTTCATAATCTAGCTCGGGCATATTATTATTATTATAAGATACATAATGGTATATCTTCTTCCCGAATCAGGACACACAGTCCTACTGACTCGTGTTTAATGGCTGTACCGGTGTGGAGTCTCCAGGAGCTCCAGGGTCTGCCCAGTGCCATTACAGAGCTTCCGGGTTGGTGTACAGACAACCCTATGATGAATAATTGTGTGGGTGTGTGGGGGGTGGGTGTCACATTTTGCACATGGGAGAGGACATTTGCGGGACAGATGCTCGGAAGCAAAACTGTGGGGTACGTGCACTTTCAATTGTGAAAGGTAATGACGAGTTAGTCCCAGCTTCCACCGCACCACAATGCAGGGGCACCAACTTAACGTCCTATCTCCTTGCTGGAAGTTTCCGCCGTCGCCCATCTAAGAGGTAGAAAATCTTCTCAGAGTGGCTTTGATGTGTATGTCTTTTATCACGAACAACAGAGAATTCCCCACGCATTTAAGAACCGTCGTGTTTCCTTTGCTGAGTCTTGGTGTATGTCCTTGGTGATCTTTATTTTCTGCTGGGGTTTGTTATTTTTGTTGTTGATTTGTAACTGCACTTCATCTGTTGAAGAGACTGGTTCTCTCCTGCATGGTGTTTCTTTTCCTTTTTGTTTTAAACAGCTTTAGCGAGATAGGACTTATAAACCCCACATTTCAACCGTGTAAGGTATACAATTCAATGGGTTTCAGGATACTCACCAAGTCTAACAACCATCACTACAAGCAAAGTTTAGAACATTCTGTCATACTCCCCCGAAAGAAACCCTGTATCCATTAACAGTCACTCGACAGAATATCTCCACCGTCTCACCTTCCCCAGCCCTGGGCAGCCACCAGTCTATAGATTTCTCTGTTGTAACTAGTCCATCCAGAAGAGTCATACAATAATTGTCCTGTGGGGCCTGGCTTCTGTCTGTGTAATGCTTTTTTTTTTTTTTTTTTTAAGATTTTATTCATTTATTTGACAGTGATCACAAGTAGGCAGAGAGGCAGGCGGTGGTTGGGGGGAGCAGGCTCCCTGCTGAGCAGAGAGCCCAATGCGGGGCTCGATCCCGGGACCCTGAAATCATGACCCAAGCCGAAGGCAGAGGCCCAACCCACTGAGCCACCCAGGCACCCCCGTGTAATGCTTTAAACCTCCATCCAGGGAGTAGCACCTATCAGTACTTTATTCCATTTTGTTGCCAAATGACATCTCATCACACGGCTAGGCCGTGTTTTATCTACTTGGTCATTAGATGACAGGCATGTGGGTTTTTTCTAATCTTTGGCTATTATGAATAATACTGCTATGAACACTTGTGTACAAGCAGCACAGTGTTTTATAAAGTTGGATTCGTTACCCCAGTGTTTGAAAACGGAAGATGTCATCTAGAACTATGACCACATTGCTCCAGAAATCTCAGTGGTGACCATCAGCTGGGGCCAAGGAGGGTCCTCTCCATTCCGACCAGTGGCTCCCTGCACTGACATCGTATCTTCGGGGCTTGCACGCTCCGGGTCTGAGACAGGCTTAAACACAGGTTCTATGTCGGCACTCTTCAAAGTGTGGGTCCTAGACTGTGTCCGTGGCATTCCCTGGGAGCTTGTTAGAAATGCAGACTCTCAGACCTCACCTTACATCTACTGAATTAGAATCTGCATTGTAACGAGAGCCTCCGGGAACCCATGTGTCATTATGCTTACTACAAGGTGATCTGTTTCTACAGTAATGTTCCTCTGGGTAATTGCCCATGTACGAAGGAGTGCATAAAGGCTAAGCACACAGACTTTGGATCCCAATCCTAGCTTTGTGATCTTGGGCAAGTTACTTCACAAGAATAATGACAGGAACTACCATATAAGACTGTTCTGAGGATTAACTGAGATAATACGCAGGAAACACTTAGAACAGTGCCCGATACATAAAACAGCGGTGTTAGTTATTATTACAATTTACGAACACAGAACAACAGCAGCACACAACGTGATCATTGCTACCTCTGGGAATCATGTCTTATTCCCGGGAGCCAGTACCACCACTTGGTGACAGCCTACTAGAATTTCAAGCAAAACACTAAAAAGGGACATCTGTGCTGAGTATGTGAATCTAAATCTAGAAAGTGACAAGAATATTGTCCTGATCTCTTGGGCCTGCAGCCGAATGTCTTTTGGATCTTTCTTGGCCTTCCTGCCAGCCATGATATCCTGGGGAGGAGGTTCAGTCTCAGCGCTAAGACAGGGCTGGCTCTCGGCACTGGCAGGTCAGGGAGAGAGGCTGGTCATGCCAAGCGGAGCCCTCAGCGTCCAGGCTCCAGGCGCACTGCAGTGCAGGAGTCAACTTATGCCTCGGAAGGCACTTTGAGCTCTGTTGGTCTCAAGCAAGTGGGTGTGCGGTAAGCCCTCTAACCCCTCCCAGGGCTACCTTTCCTACCTGGTGCCTGGAATGTCAACATCTAAGCCACTCTAGATCCAGTGGCCCCCCTTCCTCATAATCCTGAAAGAAGTACTATGTGAACTCTTTCCCTAGTGTCTCCATTCTCCAAGGCACCTCCATTCAAAAGGAAATGACAGGTAGGCCTGGGGTGACTCAGTGACTCACCAGGGGTTAGGATTTGAGACCCCTTGACTGAAAGGGGACTGCTTGATTCCGAAACGGATAGGCCCTGCAGCTGGGGCAAAGGGCGGTGGAGGGGGGGGGTGTCAGAGGGAGGGGGCACCCAGCCGAGTGACGATCCCTGGCAGGGCTGACAATTTGGTTCCCAAAGGGTTTCTGCTTCAGAGACGAGCAGGAAGGAAACCCCCACGAAAAAGATGATACAGAGTGTGCACCAGAAACAGAAGCCGGCAAATGAGAGGCAGGAGTGAGGGGAGGGTGGGGAAGCAACACCACGCGGTGTAATTAGAAAACCAGCCGTTCTGGAGCCATCCATCAGGGAGTGTGAACTGCTGGGCAGGGCCCAGGGACGGGGGCCCCAGCCTCCTGCAGGACCAGAGGTCCTCAGCACACTGTTCCCACCCTGGGAGGGCCCTGCTCTGACACCCCCGTGCTTGGAACGTGACCCACAGCACAGAAGTCACAGTCAGATGCCAGTGACGGCCTTCCGCCTCTGCCCGGGACAATCTGGGGGACCCTCCATCAGTTACTCAACCTCTCTGTGCCTTGGTTTCCTCATCTGGAAACCTGGGAGGATGGAAGGGGCCCGCCCTTCTGCGAGGCTGGAAGGGTGGGAGGCATTCATGCCGCTGAAGGGTTGGCTGGCTGGCTGGGCATTGCAAGCGCTCCCTGGTCACATCAGCAAGGTGATTTTCTGCTGGAGCTGGTAGCCGCTGCGTTCTGGGTGAGGCAGAGGCTGGGGCTGAGATCAGGAGGTGGAAATCATGGGAGGAAAGCTCCAAAGATGGGAGGGGGCCTGGATGGAGGGTGGGCTTGCTATCCCCAGGGTCCGGGGAGGTGGCAGGCAAAAAAACGGACTGCGTTAGGTGTCTTCACCTTCTAGAATTTTCAGAAAGGAACCAAGAAAGAGAGAGGAAGGCCACGGAAGCTCTGCAGGGGGCTGCTAGCAGAGAACAGAGGGAAGAGCGAGGGCAAACGCTTATGAGGCACCACCACGGCCTGTCAGCCTCCCACTCAGCTCTTCCCATAATCCTGTGGGGTAAGGAATATCATCAACCCATTTAACAGATGGTGAAACGGAGGCATGGGGCAGGGCCAGGACTTGCCGAAGAGCTTCCAGCTTCCGGCGTGTGAGGCTTTGCCACAAGGCTACCCTGGGCTTCCTTTTGCTGTCACCCTTAAGTGATCCCCACCATGAAGCTGAAACCCCCAGCCCCTCTGCTCAGCCCAGCCTGGTGGCTTTTGCACCCCTGCGGGCAGAGGGGAGAAGTGACCCGCAGGGTAGGGGTGAAGAGGCAGATGATGCAGGGAGGGAAAGACGGGCCAGCGGGCAGCTCTCTCAGCCCAGCAGCGAGAAGCCGGAGCCGCTTCCTGGAAGGACTTATCCCAACACTGTTTATGCTTACAGAGGAAGGCAGGGCTAAAGGGAGGAGGAATTTTTGATGGAACAAAGGCTCCTCTACCCCCCACACTTTCCCCCTGCCTCCTCCCAGAAAGGCCGGCCTCTTCTCATAAACTTCAACATGAAACAGACGCTGAATGCCCAGCGCGCTGCAGGGGCGGCCGCCCGCCCTGGCTGGGAAGGGTGCCAGGTCTGACCTGCTCTCTTGACCCGGGCCCCTGCCACATACCCCTCTGGGGAATCACATCAGCCAGCAACCCCGGGCAAAACTCAGTGGCGCTCAGACACCACCCCTTGTAGCACAGACAGGGCCTCTGGGGGCCAGAGAGGCA